TATAATCCAAAAACAAAGTACGCCAGTGGCCTCATTAAATTCAATTATCTTATACTGTTTGGTAAATTTGAAAAACCCACAACAAGTATAAAAAAAATGAAACATTGTGAACTACATTTGTTTATAAAAATAAGGAGATGTGGTATGATTGCCAATGAGACAACTATCCACTAAAGTTAAAATGAAGTGGTTATAACCAATTATAGGCAATCGTAGTCCTTCAACAATGAGAAAAACCCATAACGTATAGTCGGCTATTAAAGGCCCCGACATGAAAAATATGAAACAATTCATTTGAGAAAACTAACGGCCTAATTTATATGAAAACAATTTACGAAAAACAAATATTACAGACAATGAACTAAGGACAACCACTGGACTACAGGCTTCTGACTTGGGACAGGCACATTAAGAATGTGGCGGGTTTAAACATGTTTGTGCGCGCATATATACAATTGCCTGATTCTGCATCCACTTGTGACCATGTCATTCTCATCCATTGTAATGTATGCACATTTGTAACATTCTATAACAAATTTTTTATTTGGTTGTACAGTTTGTGGGCGCGTTTATTTAGCCCAATTTAAACTGAGTGTCAAAGCCATCTCTTTGTTGTAAGATACATCATAATCCCACATTTTATAAATGTACATTTGTAGCTTTTGCAAACAAAATATGTTAATTATATTATATGTTTAAATACTGGAGCATTTTAGTTTTGATATCAGGAGTTACAATGGAAAGGAAAGCCCTGGTTTCGCAATAGCAAACAATGTTATTATGCTCTGATAATTGAACAATTAGCTGATCAATTTAGATATAATATCTTGAAAATGTGAATCATCGGTTTCACAACTAGTGAAAATTAGATGTCGCTTGAAATTTGACTAATAAATAACAAAAGTTACTATCAAGCGATATCCAGATATCAACTAGTTGTTAAGCTAATTTCTCCTGTAGAAAATTAATCTTTTTCCTGTTGAAATATTTTAGATTTCACCAGCTTCACTTCAAATATGAGTCCGCCTACAGTATTGAGAATCTAATGTCAGGAACTCAAACTACTATTAACATCAGACTTTATAAAACAAATTGTACGCTTTAGAATGGAACCAAATTTGACAAGAAACCTATTTTATGTGAACTATGTGAATGTTTTGTAATTTATTTAAGAAATCACAAATATCAGTTGTCAAGGGGGAAACATGTCATTTGAAAGTCAGCACTGACCTAACGAATAGTCAGTTGAAAATCGCAATTTCGTTACGCATTGCAAGAAAGGCCAACCTCATTGATCCGTTTTTTGTATCACTTAATTATATCGCACTCCTTTCAGTGTAATACGAAAAATATCTCTTCAAGCGGGAAATGTATAATAGGCATATGAAAATGTAAGTTATACATGTATCTCAATAGTTTTTTATTCAAATGATAACTTGAAATAAAATTCGATATGTTTTAATGTCAAATTTCCAGGGCAAGGCAAACACGAGATCAGTTTGTCTGTTAATTACGTTGCGTGCTTAATTTGTCAACACAGTTTGAAGTACTTATTGAAAAAAATAATTAGAGTTAAGTATTAACCAAGGAATCTAACAGCTAAATTAATCTATTATAGTTCTTCATCGTCCAATGTTAATTATTGTATACGAAATTAAAACACATTTATTTACAGAAAAAAAAAAAAAAAAAAATAAAAAAAAAAACAATGATAAGAAAAGTTGATACAAAAAATAAATAAGAGAAAGTAATTGCTATAACATAAAGATAAATAAAAAATATATATATTAACAAAAATGTTATTTCGAAAGACACAATCCGTTCAATGTCATGTTTAAATCTATTATCTTAAAAGTAAAAGTTATATTGAACTAACTATCAATATGTATACTAGGTATACTTTTGAAGAGATCTTTCTCATGCTATAATCGAAGTAATGGCTAGGTTTGTCAAACATTTTCTGACGGTAAGAAAACATGTACACTATTATGGCAGTACAATTGAGATCAGTTCTAACATCTCTTTAGACCCGTCGAAACAACTTGTCACATTATTGTAATAAATATTCTTGAATAGTTCGGACCCTGAAATGTTCCAAGGCAGCATGAGAACTGTTCAAAACTTTTCTATGGTGGCATAGTACACAATAGTTCTATGGTAGACTTGACAGTATCTGAATTATTTTGAGGAAATAACTATCCAAAACTGTTCAATGATGGAACAGCTGGTCAGAAACTGTTCTGAAACTGTCCTAACAACGTCACAGTTCTTGAGACTGTTATAGAACAGCTCTGACATTGCCTGATATTTTGACAGATTGAAAAGATGTATGAACTGATTCAAACTGTATTTTAGTTATAAATGAAGAAAAACGTGTTCTGCAAACAAATACAGATAATGCGGATAATACAGCTGTATAGTGGTATCCAGATTTTAAAACAAAACACACAGGAAATGAACGCGACTTATGCAACCAAGTCTTCTTTGATACAGACGCCTGCAAGCGCTAGCAACACATACAACAAACCGAAAAGCGCAATTGGATTTAGAATCTAAATTGGAACAAACCATGTCAAATATGTTTTCATTGTTTGTAGATTTATATTGTCAAAATCAATCCAACTTTATCAATATAAATAAAATAAAAATTAGCAATTTTTTCAAATATATTGTTTTCTTTTGAACATGGGAACAGACAGAAACAAACAAACAAGAACACTACGTGTAACAAATGACGTGGAGGTCACTATTGCATATCTCCATTTCATTGTTTTTCCTTTTGCAGAGACCGTTTTGTATATTATATCGCTACCCACAACCCCCATATGGATCAATCATTTGATAAAGTTAGAAATACACAAAACTGTTTAAACAATCAATGTAACTGTGTCAGGTTCAGCACTTTCTGTATTAGAAAGAACAGGCCAAGACTTTTCAATAAACGGACAATTTATTTAATGCGACAGGTTTAATCGAAAATATACAAATTTGCTGCTCAACATAAGAAGTTTGAACTATGACTGACTGTTTAACTTTTGATACTCTCGAATTTCTCATACTCAAAATAAATTTGTTCCATCTCTATTAAAAAATAATTGTTTTTGGGATAAACCCAATATTTGCATTTTGTATTTTTACTTATTATACAGAGATGTGCATTGAACAAATTTGAAGAAAAATGAATTAATGTCAAACTTTCATTAGATACCTAATACGAGACACAAAGCATATCAACCAAAAGCAAAAACAAAAAAATTCTGCAATAGGTGATGTTTATGTCACACATATGTCATTAACCAAATCTTAAAGCTGTGCTTGCTACCTATTTCCTTTTCATTTCTCTGGTTTGTATCTCAACAGTAAGATTCAGAAAAGAAATGAAGCTATTAAACCAAGAGTTCAAAGTGGTGAAGTTGAAATCATTCCTTCGTAAATTTTACGGACGCCATCACGAGTTAGTTGACCTTTGATATCTTTCGCCTCTCTTTTACAGGAAATTCAGATCTCTTTTAACACTGAGATGCTCGACGTAAGAATAATCAATAGTCGAACACCATCCTGTACATGTATGAATCCGGCCATATAAATAGCCATATAAGCGTTATGGAATAATTTAGTCAGCGTTCACATTTAAACAAATGCTATTAATTTAGTATATTATAGTTTTAATCATTTTCAGATAAGTATATGGAATAAAATTCAGTATTTAAATGATAGTTATCAGAAGGAATGCAAACTGATGAAATAACACACACGATTAAGATTCTTCTTCCCCCTTTTTGGTCATCAAGATATTTGCAGTTCAGTGGAATAGCTTCCATTAAGGCAATGGTGCAACTGTCGCAGAAAATGTTTGACCAATAAAACAACTGAGAATGTTATATAGACAATTTAAGTGTGCAACGAATATTCCTAATAAAGTGAAATTGGTTCCAAGCATTGAACAACTCCACACCTTACCAATGCAGTGCTCATTATCCCCATTGGTTTTTTTAACAGTGATCATGAGTTTGACAGTCATTTTTGTTTGATTAGGAAACGTCATAATTCATAAAGAGAGTATATAAATTTTTGCCAACATAGTCATGAAGGATGACACGCTTATTATGCGTTAACATTTAGGGAGAGGGTCCTACGTGGAAATGCCGCAGAGCAATATTTCGTGTCTCTACGCTCTATTCCCAATGGCAGTCCAAATTCTTCGCCTTTATTCCGGTTTTCCCATATTACAGCCCTTGCGGCAGTAAAAATCATCATTAAGAACAGTGTCCGTTTGACTTTAACATGTTTAACAGTGTTTAAGGGATGTAGAAAATGCAAAGATAGGTCTTCACGGAATTAGGATGATAAATCGTATTAAGAGTACCACGCACTCTGAAACAAACTTTCCAATAGCTGATTCGGTAGACACAAGCTGCATGACATGTTGCATGCAAACATATCTATCTATCCCTGAATGTCTTACTTGTGCTCTTTTTCTAGCTGCAGTCGAAATTCATCAACATTGGAGTTTCTACATATAGAATTATTACTAACTTGAATTCTTCGTGAATGCTTGTATGACATGTTTGCATTGGCAAGTGCCAATAACTCTATTGCGATGCAACGCGGTTATTTGCATTAAACCATCCCTTCCCAAACCATATAGCGGTCTTTTAATTTACGCTCAAGAGTCGATTATCATGCTTGCTTCAAAGCTTTTGCCTCTTTAGAAATAAGGGTCAAACTACGCCACTGTAGTTAACGTTAAAAATATTTACGTAACATGTCTCTGTAATAACAAGTTCTATTAGTATCGTTCTTAAATAGATTAGAACCTAGGTTGTTACTGGTTTCATTGAACTTGTCCTAAGATAAGACATCTTTATCACTTTTGCCGACCAACATGGTGGATTTTAATGTATGTCTTATTGTTGTTATTAGTTTTCAGTATGAATTTACCCTGGCGGTTCAGGAACAAAAACGTCTTCTTATAACAGACCCGGATTATATTGATAATAAACAAATCCACAGAGACATCCAGTCGTTAAAGGCAACAATGGAGGTCATAAAACAGGAAATGACACAAACCAAATACTGCACATTCAACTTTGATACAACAACAGGCTTCTGAAATTGCAAATCTTAAGATCAAATTGCAACAACGGGAAAAGGCCGAGTTAGATATGGAATCAAAACTCACTCAAATAACATCAGGTACTTTGAAATATTGTGTTTTCTAAATCTTATATTTATCATGTCATTTGTCACATTTTGGTATTTGTATAGCGGTACTAAACTAGTCCAATGCATTTCGGAAATAATGAAAACGTTGTGGACTGCTTTAACTAATAAGCTTATACGTTTTAAACTTCGTTACTATTTCGTGCCCCTGTTAAAAAACCCGGAATCTCATTATCCAATGATATATGTTTTCTCCTATGAAGTATTATGATCTGTTTGAAACATTGCACATTTAAGGGAATCTTTCTACAGACTCGGACAATGTAATATTCGCAAGAAAAATAATAATACACATTTCAGTTGTTTTTTAAGATTTTTCTTTCGAATGACCTAAGCTCACATGATTTGCTCGCCGAACAGTTATGACAATACTTGGGATAATTCAAAGTCCTGTTAATACTGTCAATACTGCTTACGAAAGGCAGCATATTGGCTATGTATAGTGGAGGACAATTAACAGCAACTGGTGAGAAAACAATATGCATGAACCTCAAATTGTCTTACAGCTTTAAACATACGCACACATCTCTAAGTTAGTTTTAAAAAAAATTTATAAATATTTCTTTTAAAATATCTAACATCTATTTAAATTGTTAAATTTACTAAATGATTTACTCGTTTATTGTTCTTTTCTTTTTTAACTCTATGCACTAGAACATTTTTTTTATAACCTCTTTTATCAAAAACTTGTCTTTTGAAGTCAAAATAGTTAACATATTGTATGGAATGCTCACATAGGATTTGAGAAAGAACATCTGAAATCAAGACTATATTTTGTCGGTCAAAATCACGAAGTTGTTGAAAGAAATGATGTGTATGTTTCTTAACTCCTTAGCGAAATGTTTTATCGGCCTGAGATTTTTGATGACAGAAATAGTAAACTGAACTCTTAATTTACCGACTGTATCCAAATCTCTATTTGGACATCTTACTGATTATGGATTCGAATGGAGGTTGATGCATGCTTAGCAGGAAACACCTACCATATCGACGTCTCCGGTTTCGCTCCTTTTGAAGTTCATACGATTCTCTCAGGATTTATTATTTTTATTGATTTGTATGATCCGAATAGATTAATAAATTCAGAACAATACAATTCATTACTATACAATACAGTGCAATACACAATAAATACAATACAATACGCAAGACAATTCAATTTAATACAATACAATACAATACAATACAATACAACCCAATACAATACAATACAATACAATACAATACAATACAATACAATACAATATACAATACACTACAATACAATACAATACAATACAATACAATACAATACAATACAATACATAAGAAATCGTATATGTTTATTGCAGCTTCAAGTGGATCAGTGTACATACAATGGGGGAGAAAATCTTGTACTCGAAATGGTACCGAACTCGTTTATTCAGGTTAGAAAATAAAATAATTTATATCAATATTTGTCTGTTAAACATGGAATTGTATGATGATGATGAGGAGGAGGAGGAGGAGGAGGAGGAGGAGGAGGAGGAGGAGGAGGTGGAGGAGGAGGAGAAGTATGATGAACTATATGTATATTGCCTTATAATTGTTTATTTGCATGTTTTCATCGTTGGATTGTGTCTCATTGACATATAACCCACACTCTTTTATTAAAATTTTCTGTAACAAAATGTAACTGGAAGAAATATTTTAAATTGTGGAATACCTATCCTTCATGCAAAGTTCTGATTCCTCGCCCGGCTTTAACTGTACTTTTTGTTCTTTTTAGATTATAAGCTCTTCATTTTTTTAAAAAGCTTTTGATTTTCAAACATTTTGGCCTCAATCATCACTGAAGAGACATTTATTGTCAAAATGCGCATGTAGTGCAGAAAATTGGTATCGTACATGTTATATCACTAAAATTCTTTAATTGTTTTTCAGGTATGGGAGGAGGTGGCTATTATACTGAAACAGGACGATCTGCAAATCCTGTATGTGTACCGCATGATCCTGATCTAGGTCCTGTAATTTCTACAAGTGGTTTTGGAACTCTCTATGGTATGGAGTATAACGATCCATCACTCGGGAAAAATCTCAAAGATGAAGATGTACCATGTGCTGTTTGCAGATCAAAACTAGTATCATCCGTTATAATGGTGCCCGGAAAGACACGTTGTCATCATGGATGGAATTTGGAATATAAAGGAATGCTTACAACTGGCTACTGGAACCATAATGGTCCATCGTCATACATTTGCGTGGATTCCAACCCCGAAGTTATAGAAGGAGGAGTTAGGAACGACGATGGATACATGTTGTATCCAGTTAAAGCTTATTGTGGATCTCTGAAGTGTCCACCGTATGTACAAGGAAGTATGTTGAACTGTGCTGTTTGCTCAAAATAAATCTTTGACATGTATGTTTGGTTTTCTTTTAAATACCACACTAAAAAAAATTTATTCAGATTAGAAAAAGATACGTTGTTCATGGTAATGAAATTGAGAAAACACAACAAAGTACAATATTTATCAATTATTTTCCTTTTAACATCATCATCGCAACGGTTATCTAAAGCTTTATTCGAAGTATGTGTTCACACCCTTGTTTCAAAGAAGTTCTTGTTGCTCAACCATTAGTTTTCTGTGTAGTTATTAGTGAACATTTCAGATTGTAATTCGGCTATAAACTACTTAAGAAACTACTGTAGTCGACGTTTTGTGATGTTTTCGGGTAAAAAAAGTGACATGTATATACCTTTCCACCAGTGAATAATGCCTAATAATCGAACAGTAGTATTACAGAGCGAGTGATACTGGAAAGCCACAAACTGCTGACCCTATAGGATCACCTAGGCGTACTCCTGTTGTTGAGTGGCGTTTTTGTTGCTCAATATATTTCTTTGAAATTATGGCACGTGTTTGTGTTTTTGTCGTTTATGTGTAGACCATGTTATTGTCTGTATTTTTGTTCGAATAACTATTTTGCTGTTCCCTTTGATATCTTCTCCCGCTTCATGTTAATTATACATAGTAATATTGTTACAATCTCTTTCACACATTGATACAATAGCAACAAGACTTGTAAATAAAATCTAAGATATTAAGGTGTCTACCTTTACCATAAAGAGAGGTTTAAAAAAAACAAACAAACAAACAAACAAACAAGAAGACAAAAAACAAAGTAATAGCTAAAATATATGAAATAATTTGTACACAATTTGTCATCATACTTATTCAAACAAACATGAAACAATAATCAAACGCCAATGTGTTCATTTGATGCTAGGAGTTATGTGTGTGATTTCGGCAATTGTGGCATGTTGGAATGATAATTTTTTCCGTTGTTTAATAGTTGTTAGTCACATTACATCTTCTGTTCCATTTGGGATAAGACTGTTTCAAAAAAATTCACTTAAAATAAATTGAAAATTGAAATATGAGCTGCGTCGGATAGAAATCGACCTTATGCAAGTACACATATACGTGTACATGTATACGACTTTGATTAATTATGGAACATTCAAATACGAAATAAAAGATAAATGTCAGTCTGTTTTGTAGGGTTCTTATAACAACTCAATTTTCAAACAGTAACAGACTTTCCGTAGAGAGAGATAGGTTAACAGATATATTGATATTAATGTGCATAAGGTCGATTTCTATCTGACGCAGCTCATATCATATAATTTAACCTGAACGTGTGCATTTATACTGCCTTTTTTGAAGCCAATTTACTATATTTTTAACAAACCAGTTGTCGTCGATAAAATTGTTAATTAGCTTGAAGCATGAAAGATGACGAAACCCTCCCTAGATCAACACCTTCAAATTACATGTACTTGTAAAGATTCTGTACTAGAGTCACGTCGAATTTTAAGAAAAAATAAAACAAAAACTCGTCTGAAAGTTAGGCATATTTAGAAAAAAACAACATTTATTAAACAAAATTGATCCTTGTGTTAAACGCTACATTCAGCACCTTCGGCTATATCGTAGCAATCATTTTTATTGGTTGTGGAACCAGTATTACCCGTTTACCTTCGGCAGAAAAAAATGTGTAAGGTTCTCAACATTTGGTTTCGTCGGAGCCTTTTATATCTTACTATAAGTTATAGGTGTTGCTCATTTTTGAATGCCGTTAAGATGACTGGAGGTGGAGGGGGGGGGGGTCTTAATTAAAATCCACAGAATTTTTTAATAATTTGTCACAATGAAGTTTTTATCATGCTTTTCTTTTAAAATATAATAAAAAGTATTGGTCACCAGACTTTTTTTCACGCTACAGGTTGTGCAAAATTGTCAGATTTTGTATAGACTATGCATGGAAAATCCAATTTTGTGTGATAAAAAGAGAACTACACCATATAATTTTAAGATAAAATGTGAGAAGATAGCTCTTAAAACATGCTTTCACATAAGAAAAAGAAAAAAAGAGGTCACCGGACTTGTTTTCTTGCTACATATTAAAATAGGTAAATTCACAACACTTTCTCTTATAAAATTACTTTATCTGAGTTATCTCCCCTACTATCTGAGTTATCTCCCCTTATTTGGCAAAGTTGAAAAAAATGAATTAAACAAAAATACTGTGTTTTTTTAAGAAAATACATCCGTACATATGTTAAAACACATAATTTTCTTTATTAACACTAAAAGTCTTACACATGAATTACATACTACTCTCAAAATTTGCACATTTCATTAAAGATCTAGACCAATTGTTATCTGCTACTTCAAAATCCAAGATGGAGGAAAACACCCGAGCCACCTTAAGTGACCCATTATAGTTACTTACATGTATATCCACGTCCTCTGTTCTCTGGTGGAAAATGTTCCTCTTGGCAATTATATCTAATCTCTTTATTGTAATACTGGTAGATCAAATTGGAATTTAGTATTCCATGAATATAATTTTCATCGAATTGATTAGTTAGTTGCTTCATATTATTAAAAAAGCTGGCTGTTATGCAAAAATACACAAATTACCTGTATACATTTTTTATCTGTAGACTACAACGATAACATGTGTTTCATTACAGTTAGTTTCGAACATAAAGATGGACATCATCAGCTAACTTTTTACTGAAAAAAACTATACGGAAAATTAATTGATGTGTGACAAATAGACAATCAGTATACGTTACGAGTTGTATATAACATTAAAGGTGTTTGCACAACAAAGGTTCTTGCACAAATTATAAAGGCATTTGCAAATGAAATATGAACAGGCATATGATATAACAGGTGTAAAATCTCTCATAATATCAAAAACGCCTTAATTTGGTTATACATTCATATACTGACTACAATACAAGCATTGTTTGGACGGTTTATCATGTGCATGAAGTTATATGCTTTTTCTTGTCTATAAATCTCGAAGAGTTTACGAATTGGCGCGTTCTTCCTATCACTTACTGATAAGAAATCTATATCATTTCCTGTCTGTTTGATTTAACAACATGGAAACTACACTTAACATATGTTTTCTTATTCTTTTAAGTTTTCAGCAAATATTTCTTGTGTTTAGCGAAAAAGACAAACGTTTTCTTTTAACTGACCCGGATTTTAAAGATCAACAGCAAATTCATCAAGACATCCAGTTCTTAAAAGCAACAGTTAAAACACTGAAACAAGAGTCAACTGCACAGACATTATTGATACAACAGGCTAAAGACTAAAATTGCAACAACGCGGATAGGATCAATCAGCTTTGGAACCGGAACTTCGAAAGACCAAATCAGATATGGAATCAATAATTCAACACAAATTATCATGTACGTAAAAGTTTATTTCTGTTTCGCTAAAAGATATACAACTTCTGTCATATAAATATTTAATGGCATGAACTTTTCGGTGAGTAAACCTTTATTTGGTTATTAGATTGTCTGGGATGCGGCTTTTACTTATTTTATGTCTAATAAAAATGCACTGAAAGGTGAGTTCAGACGACACAAATTATAAATAACGTTAGAATGACAAACAAGAAAGAAACATAGAGACCAAACGTTAATTAAAAGTCATGAAAATATTAAAGTTCGCGTTAAACTAAGCTGAGGTAATAATGTCGACATGGGTGCTTTCACAGCCTAAATGCTTGAATATGTATGTGCAATTTAAGTTTGCTAGTTAGTTGTGTGGAAAAAATCAATAAAGTACCTATTTATTTCATATGGAATAAATAACATTTTTTAATACTTGCCAATCAAATTTTGGGACTGATAACAAAATTAGGACTGTAATATTGTACTATTTCAAAAATGGCTTTAATTCAAACATTTTCGAATGAGCATGTTCTAAGAACATTTGACTTTATATGAAAACAATGACATTATATGTATATTTCATTATAATCCGTTATTTTGATTTGCCGACAACAATAGCGATGAACCCCAATATCATAATTTATTTCAGTATGAAGAACAACATCTATGATATAACGTGCTATCCGTGACAATGTTAAATTAGTGCATTGACAAGCAAAAGAAAAGCTTGATCTACATCTTAATTTCATGGTTGTAGCATAAAAGAGTTATTATAAAAATTGAATACTTCTTTTTGTCATTTTATAGGGTTGTAAACATGTCGATCGTGCGAACATTTTTAAGATGAAACGCTTCCACGCTTCATACAAAATGTGCTTTGGTCAACGCTTTTAACCGACATGGTTAGAAATAGAAATAATAACACTATTACAAACACTATTTCATTTTAATATTCTTGTCATGGTAAGAAAATACAACAACTCAATCTCAATTTAATATTCCTGTACGTGTCTATAAATAAAACAAATATATCTTATTTTTAGAAATTTCCCTGTGATAATATAAATGTCACAAAAAATACGTCACTTTTTGTGACGTTGATCCATTCATGTCAGGCGCAGTTTATATTTCGTTTGTGGTGTCCTGGTATGCTATCGTAAATTCGTGGGAGGTGGCCGTTGTTATTCTGCAGTTTACATGTTGTAATGAATATTAAATGTCCTGTACCAAGTCAGAAATATGGCAGTTGTTATCTACAGTCCATTTCTATGTTTTTTGGCGTTTGCTTTCGTTGTAGTTTAGTGTTTCTGTTGTTCCGTTGTTTTCCTCATATAGTTGCTGTGTTTCCCTCAGTTTTAGTTTTTTACCCGGATTTGTTTTTGTTTAATTGAATTATGACTACTGAACAGTGGTATACTACTGTTGCCTTTATTTACACCACAATAAAATTATGAAAAGAAGCATTCAATTCCTAATTGTTTTAACATCAAACCCGTTTTTTTATGTTTTATGTAAGCGATATGATAATGGGCTGAGCCTGTCTTAACTCTATCTCTTATTCTATCTGAACTGATTCTAGATATTCTAAATATCTTCTGATGATAAAGAATTCTTTCATTTTCCGAACGGACTAAACCAGTTAAA